GCCCCCAATTTGGATTGTCTGATATTTTTGTCATGGTTAAGCAGGGTTCAGGCTTTGGGGGAAGAATTCCACAGAGGTAAAGTGCTCTCCTCACGTAAAGGTAGGTATAAGCATTTTGATGTTTTATATACTGGGCTTTTCACATACATTTTTATTTCTAAAGGAGAGACCCACCGATGCCTAACAGAAAACCAGTGGTGCATCCTTTATGCTCGATTTGGCTCAAAGTCTTGGGGGTACAGGGAAAATCAGTGATGCTGAGACATTGTCTTAATTGGGCCCATTTTCAAAATAGAAACCATGTGTCCAGAGATGCTCCTTCATCTACAAATAGGAAGTTCACCACTTAAGTGAGACTTAGTTTGGAAGAAGCTAATGGCCACTCAATAAATGCTTCATAAGTGAGAAAGAAATGAGCCAGAGAGAAAAGTAATGTGGGATTAGGATAAGAAACATGTCCATTACAGCCTCTTCAACTGTGTTTTCTAGTGGGAACCATTTTCAGTGAATGTCTGCAGATCCCCAGGACATTTTGGGGATTTTAGAACTCTCGATAACTGGAACCAGAATGGTTAAAAGTTGCAAAGTGGAGAGTCACTCCATGTCCAGGTGCCCTGGAGCGGAGTTCTGCCTGTGAGGGGGAGAATACTCAGTCCCCACAGGAGTATGTGTGTCCTCCGGAGATCCTGGTGGGCCATTGCTCCCCAGAGCAGGAGATGACTAAAACGACCTGCTCTTCATAGAGCGCTAATCACATTATCAAGAAATTAAAATGAACAAAGTCTTCCAAGAAAGGTGTACTGTGTCTGGAAGTGCTAGCAAAGGTGGTTGCTTTTTGGACTTAGCAGATCTTTTAAATATAGGACAAAAATACCATTTTTGAAATGCTTATTAGCATAATTTAATTCAGTGGTTCTTAACTAAAGCTAATTTTGTTCCCTAGGGAACATATGACAGGAAATGTCTGGAGATGTTTTGGTTGTCAAAACTGGAGGGCGGGTTCTCAGTTGGCTGTTTCCCACCTACTGCATTGAACCTCTGGCTCTGGCCTTCCACCCCCCAGCCAAGTTGTCCTTCCATCCTTTATGTATGTTCACTGCAAAGGTCTCAAGGGGTATTTCTCCTTTTCCTCTGTACATGGCCCATGGCCTTCCACTCACTCCCCTTCACTTGGCCGGCTGTGAGGTTCCAGCTCCATAAACATCCCAGTGCATTTCAGTGGCATGTGCTAACTTTCTGGGAATGTCTCTAATAGCCTGTAGCTTCTTCCGGGCCCTAAAGCCTACCTCACTGCAGAAGCCAGGCTCCACAGGATTCCAACTCAGCAAATGGGCACAATTCAGACTTGAACTGATTCTAGGATGACTGCCACCTACCACCTTTAATCCGTCCAAGACAAACACTTGTATTTTTTAGAAACCATGTGTCCAGAGATGCTGCTTCATCTACAAATTTCCAGTCTTTCTTACCTTTCTGAGCTTGAACCATGTTGAGCATGCCTGATTTCCCATCTGAAATACTCAGTCTTAAGCCATTATCTCCGCTGGAGGGCCGCTGAAGTCCCTGTTCCATCATCCACTCTCGGCCCCAATGTTGCCTTTGCCATCGATTCCAGTCATGGTCTGAATCCTCACTGTTCTTAAGCATGCTTCAGCTGTCCCTCCGAATTTCCCACAGGCCCATTTCCCCTCCGACAGTGTCCCAGTCTTAGAGTGCACCCTGGCTTTCCCACCAGCTTCCTCTTGGAATGCCCCCAGGAACTCCAGATTCTCCTCACTTGCTAATTCAAGGTCATGCAGCTCCTGTCGGCTCCTAACTGAAGTCCCCAGCCTCCCCCTCTGGCCTCCCCATGGAATCTCTCAACAGCACCCTGCATTCTTTTGCAGGCAGTTGTGGTTGTAAACAGAACACTGCCCCCATAAAAACACATATATTATGTAAAACAATTCATATATAATTATATATAATTTCCTGTAAATGGGAATGTTCCACAGTTAATATGTCACTTTCATTTTCTGTTGATAAGATGACACATCCTTGTCTATACTGACAGGGAAAGGTGGCTATCACATTCTTTTTAAGGGCTGTATAGTGTCTCATATGCATGTTCTCGTCCATTAATTGAGCAGTGATAACTTTAGAGTTTGGGGCTATTGCAAACAATGCTTCAGTCTTGTCTCTTTTCTCACTGGTAGGAATTCATCATACAGATATACTTACACTAATGGAATTGCTGGGTCAGAGAAACCATGTTTTTATAATATTGCCAAATTGCCACTCCAAAAGATTGACCCAGTTTATGTTCACCAAAGATAGCGCTTTCAGAGTCATCTTGCAGATGCTGCCTCAGGTAGGGCACAGACTGCCCACATTTCATGGGGAACATAAAGTTCAATGTCTGGAGCAAGTTCCTCCTCCTCCCCTGCCCACCTGTATAATGGACTGCCTTGGCCTGCTGCCTTAGCTCACGTAGAAGGGGCATGATTCTAGCAATTGCAGCAATACCTGATCACTTCTTAATTGTGTGTTTTGTTTTCTGCTTTTAGACAGGTTCGCTGATAACCCCAGTAGTAGGATTTATAGACCACAACTTCCAGGCCCAGCCTAATCCCGATGAAGTTACGAATGTGTTCCTGGTGCCCGTGGAATATTTCCTGCATCCACACGTCTATCACCAGAACCGCCTGACACATTCCAGTCAGCAATTTCTGGTTCACTGCTTTGAGTACACAACCCCTGAGGATGGTGTCACTTACCACATCAGGGGAATAACTGCAAAATATGCCGTGTTCATTGCCTTAATCATTTTGGGGAAAAAACCCATCTTTGAGGTTGAATTTAATCTCGATGATCTGATGTCATCCTCTGAAGAGTCCTTCCTGAGGCTTCATAAACAAGCTCCAAACAAGTTATGATCTATGCGACTAACACCCAGATAGCCAAGAGATTTTTGTGTGTGCTTATCCACAGAATGACAGTATATAATGCCAGCTGTTGGAGTTTGACAGGTGTGAATATTCTTCCTGCAATCTGAAGGTAGAAACATTGCCTTTCTTCCAGTTGCCCTCTGTTTGAAAGGGCAAAAGTTTTTCAGAAGTGGAAAAATATGTTTTTAGTGTTGCATAATTTCACCCACAGATGTTAACAATTATTTTTCTTACGTGTGCAAGAAAAAGTATCTGGAATATAGTAGGCACTTAATAAATATTTGTTGGCAGTATGACCATGTGGCATTTATCTTCTATGTAAGAGGTAATATCTCTTTCTGTCTGTAGTTACATGTGACAGAAACTTCCATCCAGCAGTCAAAATCTACCCACCCTTTCCTCCACAGCAGTGGAGTTGAACCTAAGCCCGTAGCTCCCCAGCTGGGAACAGCATTGCTCAGGACCCCTTGTAGTTAAACGTGGCCACTGGCACTAACATAGTCCGGTGCAACGTGAGTGAACGTGGCCTTGCAGGTCATCTCCAATTTAGGAGATAAGCCAGCCTCCCTGGCCTCCCTTTCCCCTTTCCAGGAGCTCTAACATCGCTTCTCTGCAGCTCAGCCTGGACCATACAGATGCGGACAACTCCTGGGGGAACAGCAAAACCTGAAGATAGAAAGAGCTTGGATCTCCAAGCGACTGTGGAGCAAGGTGACCCACCGCCCTGGGCTGCTCCCTTGGGACGGTTCCATGGGAGGAAGGATAAAATTCTGTCATCTGCCTCTGTGATTTGGGGTCACCTCATTGGAGCAGAGCTATGACCCTCATTAATAATATACCAGAACACTTGCAAATGGCTGGATGAATATTCACCCAAATGTGAGGTATTGGCAGCAGTTAGAATTTGAGACAATCTTGATCACTTAACACACAGGTTCTGTGATGTGCACAAGATGCACTTGGGTGTTAGTGGGGTTTGTCCCTCATTCAGAGTGGCTGAAATGAAGGAATATGAGAGGCCCATATGCCTACCAGTCAGGGGAGAGAATGGTAACTGTCTCAAGAGGATGAGAGCAAAAAACCCAGGTCTCAAGAACAAGCCCCAAATCAAAAGTCCAGAAGACAAACCTGAATGGCATGCCTTAAGATCTGCCACTTCTTACATGGGCATCACCACACATATCATGCTTTAGATGGGTTTCTTTGCTTTAATTATGATATTAGCCATCCTGCAGGAGGTCAGGGAGGCCAGTGAGTAAAGCAACATACCTCAAATGCCTAATGGCTATTTTCCATCTTATTGACTTACTAGATGTTTAGGAAGCCAAACCCTTTTTTATTAGACTTTGTTATGGCTGAAAATGTGATGCCCACACTAAACCCACAATCAGCCAGACACAACTGTCCATTGCTGCTGAGGTTTTATTTTCTGAGAGTTGGCAGATGAAAAATATCTGATCCGCTGCTTTATACCCATAAATGTTGAAACAGCACAAATCTGGTTCCAACCATGAAAGCAGATGTTGGGTGATCGTCACCATTAACATTCTGTAACTAGCCCTGCATGAACAGGCCTAAACTGTTTCTGAACAATTATAGAGGCATTTGCAAATGTGTATTTACAGTCTGACAGTGGTGTAATTACTGGTTGAATTGTTGGCCTCCCTGGCGGTGCAGAAAGCCGCCTTTCCAAACTGTTTGTTTATGTGAACTCTACAGACCTGCTTGATTTTTAAAAGGATTTGGCCCAGCTGAAGTCTGCAATCTGTGACGCTTGTGGCCACCCACTGTAAGGGGCTAAATATTTAGCGATGGTGATACTGCCCTCTCTTTTGTTAGTGGTGACATTTTATGACATCTTTGTTCAGAGTTATAGGTAAACATCCTGCAATGAAAAGAAACAGAAGTCTAGCAAATCTGGCTTAATAAAAGAAGTTGTTGGCAGGCTACAGATCTCAGAGAATCTACAAAACCGCTAAACAAATCAACCTCAGGAAGCACGGCGATGGGGAGCAACCTCAGCTGGCCACCTCAAAACAAGAGGTGAACTCCAATCCTGTTTATTGTGACATTATTGTGACAATAACCATCTTTTTCAGTTGATTGATGAAGACCTAGGAAAGCAACAGAAATTCAGTGCTTTGGCCCCCAATTCCTTAGAGGAAGCTTTATTTGGCCTTGCGTAGGTCACTAGCAGACTTCCAGCAACCTGGGTGTGTTCAAGGGTGAGGGTCGCGGTGAGGACCACAGATGCGCCCATCGCCCTAAGACCTGAGTCAACCGAATGTGGGTGGGAGCATTTCTGAGGAAAGTGGGCTAAAGACATCTACAGTCTCAAGTCCCTAGAATCTGCAAATCTTCAGATTCTGCCACCCAGACAGCTCAACCCTGTCTCCTCTGCATGCTCACATCCTCAGAAAACAAACCGTTAGCAGCCTGAGTCTGGCGCTCACATGGCTGGAGGTGAATCCCAGCTCCAGCGTCAGCCCATTCAGTGACCTGTAACCAGTTATTCATTCTCTATAAGCCTCAGTTTCCTCTTCTGTAACATGGGTGAAATAAGCTTCTTGTTTTAGGCCTTTTGGGAGATTAAAGGAGTTAATACATGTGACCCCTTTACTTAAAGCACACTTAAATTCTCAGAACAATGCCTGGGAAATAGCAAGGGCTTAACCACCTGTGAGCTAATAATTATGGCATTATTATATATATTGTGATATAAAACAATAAACATTGTCATTTCTCTAGTTCAGAACATCATCATTTTTCTATACCAGACGTTCCTGAATTTTCCTGGTTCACAAAGGTTGCCCTTGGCATCTCTGTAATTGTTAAATGGCACATCTAGGCCAAAACAAACACCTAAAAATGTTGCTTATGTTGTTATATCCAAACAATTTAGTAAGTGTTTGTCCTACTAACCTGGTGCCAGAAAATATACTATATACTAAAAAAATACTATTTTCATTGGAATCTTAAATAACTACAGTTGCTTGCTAATGGAATGTGAGCCCCAGTTGAGCACGCAAGTATACGGAAGATTCAGCTACTGCCTAATAGGGATAAACACAGAGACACAGAGAGGAGAGACACCAGACTCCAATTTGGGACTCAGGGAAGCCATCCCAGAAGAGGTGGTGCCTGAGTTGAGCCTTGATGGATAAGGAGATGTGATCCAGGTAAATGGGTGGTGGTGGTGGTGAAGGGGCCCAACACTCATTAAGCACCTTTCGGATACCTCGTCTTTCACTTTACATCATTTAACCCTCACACCAAATCTTTGCAGGGAACACTAGTGGTATTCCCATTTTTATATAGGAAAACTTGAGGATCAGAGAAGTTAAATATTTGCCCGTGGTCACACAGTTCATAAATGGCAGAGACAACATACAAATCGACATGCATGAATTTCAAAGCCCACACTCTGCTGTATCCACTTATTCACGGGGACAGAGGCAAGAATAAAAGGTTGAATTTACATTTCCCTGGATTCACCACAAAAGAAAGAGAAAGCCATACAAACTCAATAAATTGGAGAGAGAGCGGAGTATATTTTTACCTTCATCATGTCCTCCAGCTTATTCAGCTGGTGTTGCACACAGTGAGATGAGTAATTAGCTAGGATGATTTTAATTAAAATGGAACATGACAATTAATAAATAAAAGTGCTGGCATACTTGGTAATTTAACAACTCTGCTGATGGTGCCAGCTTTCCTGTTAAAGAACTGAGATGGGGAAATATTTCTCCACCCCTTCAATAAGATGATTAAATATAACTCAAGTCTTTTTCTTGTTTCCAGTTTTTTTTTTAATCAGAGAATAGTGCAAGGTTTTGATAAAAATCTCTGGAGTGGACATCACCTGCTCCAGTTGTCTTCGATGTGCCCTACTTGCCTATCTGCTTAATATATGTGTATCTTTGTGCTTATTCCATCCATGTTTCCGGAAGGGACAGATCCACACACCATGAGGCCCCCTCATTCTGAATAGAGCAGGGATCAAAGGCCAACCCAAAGGTGACTTCTGATTTGATGGCCAGCAATCTATGACTTGTGTTGTACTTAAATACTTGAGTACAACGTCTATTAGATATTCCAAAGAACTTGAACTATGCCAGGTGATAATATATACTGGGGGGCTATTTTAACCATGTTTGTGCTAATGAATAAGACCCCGAAGTCAGAGGTGAAAGGGTAGTTGGCCAGTAATTGGTGGAAATGTCTCTTTGATCTAGGCAGTAGTTGTCAGGTCAGAGATTCACTAGATACAAACGGAAGAAGAAATACTTCCTAAAGCAACTCAAAGATCTTTTTTTAAGGTCTCATACTTAAGTCCATAAATCTTTATTTTATAGGTGTAGGCTTGATTGGTATTTCCTTGACTGTAACTTCCTCATTTTTCATTTTATATCTTCAAGCCTTTATTCCTTACATTACGATCGTCTAGGTACTTCTGTTTCCTTTTTTGTTCTCTCTCTTTCATTTATTTTGCATGTGAAACTGAAGTTTTCCTTCTGGTTATTTTCTACCTTCTTAATTCATTCGAGTCTCTTTATTAATTTGCGAACAGATTCTGCTCTGGGCTCATTTCCTCTCCTTTCACCAGCCTGGAGTTTTTCTTCTAAATCAGCTCCATCCATGGAGACCATAAAGCATTCTGAGCAGTTGCCTACTTTTTTTTCTGACTATAAATCTGTATGGCCTAACATCAGACTAAATGATCAATTGAATGAAGGCAAATTCTGGCGCGCTAAGACCCGCACCCCGTAAGATCCAATCGCCAACGCAGAACACACCCTACCCCGACTCCTTAAAAACGCGTTTCCTCATCCACGCGCCGCTGCTCCCTCTCTCCAGGGGCAGCCGTTTTCTCTTTCAGATGATAAAATCTCTTGCGTGGACCCGCATCTCCTGAGTCGTTCTGGCGTAAGGAGGGTTGCGGCGAGATACCCCTTTCATTGAAGATAGTTTTGCTAGGGTTCCTACCCTGTTGTAAACACGTATCAGTCTATTTTAACTCCCTGTAGTGAATAGAATAGTGGCCCTATAAAGATACATCCAAGTCCTAACCCATGGGATTTTACTTGAAAACAGGGTCTTTGCCAGCATAATTAAGGATCTTGAAATTTGATCATTCTGAGTTTAGGGCGGGCCCTAAATCCAGTGACTGGCGTCCTTACAAATGAAGGAAGAGGGAGACTTAGAACATACAGGGAAGAAGTCCTCGTGAAGACAGAGGCAGAGAGGTGGGCGCGATGTGGCCACAAGCTGAGGGGCACCTGGAGCCCCAGGGG